CTCGGATCCACTTAGAAATCAACTTCACTGGCACCATTAGACCGTCTCATAGAACTCAAAGAACACTCTTAGACTCTTCTCCTAGAACTTCACCTAGCGCTTCTAGAACTCCACGCGAATACTAACGCTCCAATATATACAATTCCTAATCTGCATAACCGCGGTCTCTTCTTGGGTTTGTCGGAAAGAATTGCCATTCTGGCCCCAAAGATATCCCAAGAGGATTATTAATAGAAGTACCAATAAAGCCCCGCCACAAGCCATACATCGGTCTTCAGTGACACCAGGACTAAACCCCATGACTCGACAATGATTGCTGGAGTTTGCAGTTTGCGGTCATGACCACCCCGGCAACCACCAGCTGCTCCAGACCTTAGACGACTTGCTTGTTCGGATGAATTGTGATTCAAGCTGCTAAGAAATGATTGTAGGGTTCAAATGTGATGTTTGAACCCACGAAACCATGGACCTAAGGTGTTAACAATGGATCGTATTAGCTAGTGGTGGCTCTTTAATGATATTATCTAATTTTTAGCTGGTGTGGATTGGGTAGTCTGGTCAAACCAAACGAACTCTTGATTGGAAATAATCATGTTCAGCTACTTGGAGACCCTGTGCAGTTAGTTATAAACTTCATGTAGCCAAGCAATGATGGAATTTTTCAACATGACAAGGCGCCATCTCTCAATCACGATTGGTTTGAGGAATATTCTGTATAATTTCAACGAACTATTTGGCCAGTTACATCGCTACAAATGAAATCCATCAAAAATATACCACATGACATTGAAAATGTAACATTAAGGAGTAGTTAGAAAATTATATAAATTTCAAGAGAAGTGGACTATATCAAATGATGTGAAATGTGTGATGTGACACGTTTCTCTTTCACTCTCTCTCCAATGAGGTCCTAAATTGTTTGTATTCTACATCGCAGTTTTAGCACGATTCTAAATCTTAATTTTAAGTAGAAAACGGAGCATTCAGTTATTCTGCTTGATTCGTTGAATACACTACTTGGCATTGAAAATGCAACACCAAGAATGAGTGGCAAATTTCGAAGTATGGGTACCTCACTGTAAAATGAAAATGACGTGAAATGCTCAGCTCTCCTACACACTTCTTGAAGAGAATATAGAGGAAGGATCCTACAAATTCTAAATATCCATGCCATTATTTCTGCCATGGAGATCATCGGGAAGATTTTTTTCTTACACCAGAGGATAATTGTATTAACAAACAATGCCAGCTCCATCATACAGACAAGTTAATGAGGATCTTGGGGATTAAACGAATAATTACTACGTTTAAAATTTTTTTTACAAATAAACCCGGTGCACACCAAAATTTCCATAAAACTAAACTTAGTGGCGCAACAGCCCATGAAGACCATGGTCTACTATGCCCATCTCACTTTTCGCGACCTTGGGCACTGAGCTGCATGAGCAGATGTTCCGGTCAGGTGTGGAAAACTTTCATAGTTTAAATTATTTCATGGTGTATTTCAATTCCTACTATTAACTCATACTCTCTATATATTATTTATTTATCTTGGTGGAATTTTCGAACGTTAATAAAATATATTTTAAAGCGCTCCACTGAGCTGAAATTTAATTACATGATTATTTTGGATGACAATACAAATATTTAATTATAATTAATAAAAATTAATTGATTAAAACTAATTATTTAAAGAATTACAAATACACAGCCACGTTGGCATCATTTTTGGCGACTTGTGTCAAAACTTGAAAAGGTTTTTTTCTCACTTTTTAAAGCATTTAGTTGAGCTGAAATTTAATATACACGATTGTTTTGGATGATAATACGATACTTTAATGATAATTAATAAAAATTAATTACCACTTAATGTTGTGATTCTCTCATAATGTATATGCATATTTATATTAATTGTAACTATTTAATAAAAAGTAGCTAAAATAAAATTTTTCTTTGTTGATCTAAGTAAGAATAGATTAAAATTTTTTTTTATATTACTTGTTTTCCATTATAATAGTACAGATATAAATGTCTCGCATACCATTGAAAATAATTGACTTAAAGTTCAGCATCGACAGTAAAGAATGGACCAGAAAATATATTTTGTTTTTTACTTGTTTAATTATAAAATTTTTTGCGAATTGTGATTTATTACAACTATTAATAAACATTTATACTTCAGTTAACGAAAAATCTTAATTTTTTTTTCTAAATCAAGGAAAAATCCCTGCTTTCACTCAATTAAAGATTGGAACAGGATATTTCCAAGTTAAAAATTATCCAAAAATGACACGGGATAAAATTAGAACCAAAGAAACTATTTCATAACCTGTGTTCGAGTATGCCAGGATTATGTCTAGAAATTAATTTATACGGATTAACCAACACGAATATCTAGAAATTTAGAGGGAAAAATAACACTGAAAGAAGGAAAAAAAAAAGGAAAAGAAGGTTAAACTAATACTGATTATTTATACTCTGCATCACTTTTCAAAAGGGTTAATATGGTGCTCTTAGTTATATGAGGAAACTTTTAGGTATTCTTAGTTGTAGGTGTCACCAACAAAACTTTCCTGTACCATTTGATGCCACTCGTTGCTGATAGCTTAAAGCAGTGATTTCCAAAGTATGATACGCTCCCACGTACACGCACACTTCTGCACACACGTATATACATATTAAATGGCTATTTATTTTATTTCATTTTTGGGGTATGCGTTTAAAAATGTTTGGAGACCACTAACCAAGAAAATGTAAATATATGCGTATATAAACACACCAGCCGTTATCCTTCCAGACCCCTTCTCTCGGTATTTCCCCGATGCTGGCTATATATTTTTTTTTTCAGTGTTTCTAAAAATAGAAATTTTCATTGGTCAAAAAACAAAGTTCTCCCCCTCTTGATTTAAAAAAAAGGACAGGATTTGAATTTCTAAAACGAATATATTTGTATTTTATGCGTCTCTGTAACCTCTCTTCCGGCAATCTATTTTCACCAAATCAGTTCTCAGTGGATCTCTATTCAACAAAACACTTGCACTCGCCAAATCTAAGAGAAACACTTGCCAATTCTCAAGTCTGTAAATCTAATAGGTCAAAATCATTTATTTTTTTATCTATTATCCTTCCAAAACCACATTTAGAAAACGATTTCTGCAAAATCTGTATTTAACAGATTGATTTCTACTCAATTAAAGATAGAAAGAGAGAGAATCATGCTTGATAAATTTTAAGTCTAAATCTAATAATTGCGGAAACTCGTGAGGTGCGGGTGTGAGTCTCTTTTATCTTATATATATATATATATATATTATTCATATTTACTCTAGTGTTATTAAAGTTATGCTAAAATTTTGGGAAACTCTTTTTAAATTTTTTATTTCTATTCTGTTTATACTTTGTTAATGCCATTTTTAGCCCTTCATGATTTAAATCTGCTTGGGCCCAAGAATCTGGCAATAACTTTTAGCACTCAGTTTAGCCCCGGGCTTTGCATTTGTAAGTGCCATTTTAGGTAAGTTACCTCTATCTTATAATGGTTTGATATTCCTACCCATTATTTTCTATTGGTTTTGCTAAAGTGTTATTTACATAAAAGGGGAAGGTTGGTTTCCAAAACATGTTAAACCCCCACTTTTATATAAATTATTTTATATAATAGCTGTCTAAGTCAGTAATGTTTATAACACTGCAGCATCATTTTATAATTTTAATCTCGATTACTCTTATGTCCTTTGTGTGATTTTCCTACTGTCTATGTGTTTTTCGAATTTATTGTTTTGGATGTTACCTTGTTTGAGAAATTAGCCTATATATATATATATATATATATATATATACTAGCTGGTATACCCGTTCTTCTCACGGGTGAATTGAAAAATTAAACTATATAGATTGAAGGATAAAAATTTTTTGAGTTTAATATTACGTAATTGAAATTTAAAAAAAAAAGCTTTTTATATCTCAGATGAACAAAAAAAACCACATATTTGTTAAATTTTAAGTTTGTAAAACTAATAGCTGATAAAAAAGATTTTTTTTATATATAACACCCCGTAACTCTCTTGTGGTTCGATTTTTGAAAATATCTTCCTAAGGATCTTTGCTTGGCAAAAGTAACACATGGTTACAAATTTTGTATAATCCACGCTTAAAAAATAGGGTAAATAATTTATATTTATTTTATGTTAAAATTGTTATATTCACAAGCAACGCCGTTCCTTACATTATAATGCCGATTCAATGGAAACATACCAACATGTTGTGGCGATAGAGCCAAGTTGGCATAATTTTTGGAGAACCTGTTGGCAACTTGGCGATTGATTCGACGGTGTAGAAGTTGATATGCTGTAGAGCCACCCAGTGGTAAGCTGCATCAAAGAGGATAGCCCAAAAATCTTCTCCACAAAAAATACATATACATGCCAATTTTTATAGTGATTGGTTGAACGGTGTTGGGGTGAAGCGAGGTCATATATACACAAACATCCATTTCATTATATAAAAGTTAAAAGAGGTAGAGTTATGAAGAAAATATTCTTAATGATGTCACTTTTGAACTACACACGAGTCCTCTACTAAGTTCGAGTTCGAAATTAACTAAACAAGTCCGAAAATATTGAGATTGATTTAGATACAAAATGAACTTTTCTCCAGACACATTACATATTCATCTTTCAAAAGGATATCAATCCTATCTAATTTATAAAAATGCTTATATAATTTCGTTTTCAATATATTCCAACAATTATCATTCACACTTTCCTATATATATTTATTTATTAATATATAATCTTGTTCAAATTTTTAGTCGTTAATATATTACTTTTTATTCATCCACTCAAATTCAAATACATTTTTTTTAAACTTGTAGTGGATGACGCTTGATGTTATATAATACAGTTTTTTCAAATATTAATTCATTAATTCTATTTAATTAATAAATAAATAGTAAAAAATAAAAGCCCACACCATACATAAAAAAGAAAATCGCTCGTTGTGTCCCTGTAGCGCAATGAATAGCGCGTTGGATTTCTTATTCAAAGGTCGCGGGCTCGATTCCAGCCAGGGATAGTTTAATTTCTGAGAATGTAATTTCTATTTTACTATACTATTTTATTGGAATAATTAAATTTAATTAATGAATAAATAGTAACAAACAAAAAAAATAATAGTCCAACGCCATATATAAAAAAGAAAATGGAAAATTGCGAGGAAACTGGCTTTCTATTTTGCCGCTTAATATTGTGATTCTGTCATATGTATATACATATTTATATTAATTGTAATTATTTAATAAAAAGTAACTAAATTTTAAATTTTTTTCTTTGTTGACCTAAATAGGAATTGACTTAATTTTTTTTTAATCTTATTCGATGTAAAGTTAATATCCAAGCTCAAATTCTCTTTAGAAATTTATTGAGAAATAATTATACAAATATATCTTCTGTGTATGATCGAGTGATATCAAGAAAAATTACACGTCTTCCGTAGGTAAGGCCGGCTGGAGAAGTTTGCGAAAGATACAAGAGTGCACAGGGGCTCATCGTTTCTCTAGACTTCGTGCTTCTAATTGATTTTTCAAAATCAAAATGGCATTCTTTTTTAATTTGGCTATATACATACATTCGAATGTTGTCCAGCAATTAGTGGAAATTTCACTGCTACCAACGGAAAGTAAGTTTCTGAACCAATCACTATAGTGGGGCAAATAACTAGCGCTAGATAGTGAGAAAACTAAAAACGAGTCTTAAGTAGTCACATATGATGTGTATCGTGGTAAATACACAATATTGACTTTTTTTCCTGAAAAAAAAAAAAATCCGCGCGCGCGGAAATAATTTTCTATCAAATAGTTACATCTTTAATGAAAATTGTATTTAATTAACAATAGGAGTAATGTGTGCAATATTTTATCAAAAATAATTATTCCTGTTCAATTTGCTGAAGAACGGAGACAATAGACTTATGATAACTAAAATATGACACATATACTTGTGATTTCAAAGTATTTAAAAACCGTTGAAAAACAGCGTCAATAACAGTACCACTGTTAGCAGTCGAAACATTTTGATTTGTGTTCATTTCGAGCTTGAGTTCATCATTCATAAAAGCTATGAGTGGCTCAGAGCTTTTGGCAAACTGAAGTTAAAGTTAAAATCACCACTCAAAATCAGGGGAAGCGAGTGATAATTTTTTAAAAAGAACAGAACCACCTTCGTTATATGGTAAAAGCACAAAATGCAGGAAATCTTTAATTTTTTTTAACCGTTTGATTCGAAGAAATGTATACGATCACCGAAATCACTGTTTGCCCATTTTT